GTCTCTGGGGAGGATTTTTCGTCTTCAATCAGAGTGTGGCACTGAAAAATTTATCTCAGCTATTTTCAGCGAAATATATATATATATATATGTATACACCAACACTGAGGAGCTAGATTACACCTTGTATTACGAACTCACATATATGTATCCTTCGTTGAAAAACAGCTATGAACAAAGAGTCTGAAAATATAGCTTTCGTGCAGACAGTCGTAAATATCCCAGATGATTGGGAAAGAACAGACAGAGCTGTTCAGTTTGAACTTATGTACCCAACATGGGGTGTGAATTGTGGCTCACGTATGAAAAGCCCCTCTTTCTATTCTTGATTTTTGAGGGAGGGCAAAAAAAGATCTTCACAACTTAAATGAAAACAATTGATGACTGAAAGAATTTAACTCTTTCTCGGTTAAGGTTAACAGGAGAATCTTCTTTATTTTTGTCGAAAAAAACACATGATATTTTATTTTTAGTCGGCTGTGGTGTTTACAAAAATTGATGACACGCGATGACTTCGAATTGAAAACTGAAAAGTTGTGGCAGATTGCTTTTCATATCCACAGATGTGCAAAATGTTGCTTAATTCAAATAACATGGAAGAAAAGAAGAAACTTTTTCTTCTACGCAACAGGTACCTACTTAATATTAGTATATCGAAAGTAAACCACTGTACCTGACTTTGGAACCTTTTCGAGGAATTCGAAGGCCAAGTTCCGGTTTCGATTTGTGACTTCCGCTGGTGTCCAGGCCCTCATACTAGTATCGTGCCTTCTGACTTTGCCTCTTCGCGCCACTAAGAAATGGCTAAAAAAATTTAAACTTCACGCGTCGTGACTTGAGTCCATTCGCAAGAGTAACGAGAATTCTTGGATAGCACCGAAAGCAGTCGCTTAAGTTTCACCTTTCATACGCTGGTCGCAAGAATGATTTCTATTTTCTGGTTGTTTTAGGGAAATGGGAAGCATAACGCATTTAGCTTCAAACATAACACCTGACTTTGAAGTTATTCGACAGGAAAAAGGTTCTAGGGATTTTCGGAAGGCTGATGAATGTCATTTCAGTCTAGTATACGCCATGAATATATATTCTCTGCATCAAATTAATCTTGCCTTGAGCAAAATTTGATACATTTAAAATGGTATTTTTTTCTTAGCATAAATCATGACCAATGTCTTCTCTTCACCCAGGTGTACAAATGGGTACCAGCAAATGGGCTGGGGGTAACCCTGCGATGGATTAGTATCCCATCCAAGGGGGAGTAGCAATACTCCTAGCTGCTTCATGCTAAGAAAACCGGAGTTAAGCACCGGCCCTATGGGCCACTTGGGCCCGTATAAAGGCTTTATGGGGGAAAAGGTTCTAAATGCAAAAAAAGGCTTTTGATCGCTGGAGACCTTTATTTATTTAGTTAATGTCATAAATTTCTTTCCGCTCCTTCGGTTATATTGTGTTGATTAAAGACCAATACACTTAGAGCAGGGCTGGTTTATTTGAGCAATTACTTCTTACATACAGCACGCCATATTCTCTATCATCAAACAAACACAACAATGTTACGTGCTTCACACTCCCTTTAAAAAACAAAAGCTCTTAAGCCCAAAAAAATTGGCTAAACTGACTGATGCGACAACACGGCAATATAAAAGTTACAATTTGCCATGTGACCGCTGTACACAAGTCTTGGTGTCGGTCCCTGACACCAACGGTCCCACCTTGGGGTAATGCAGTGTTTTAATAAGGTAGAATAATCTCTAAAGGCAGTTTCCTACCCTGATGGTTGTAAAATTAGTTCATGTAATTCAGTGAACTTGTTAGAAAGAATATTTTGTCAGTGTATGACAAACTGGAACATTACTTTCAATCCTTGATCGTGTACTCAAGACTCACTAAAAATGCAGATAGCTGAAATATTATTTTTGCACGACCGGTGACAAAGTTCAACTCTGTCTTTTAAAAACCACCTCATGATTCTCCAATCCCTCAGAATCAAGGGAACAGATAAGTAAAAGTCCACGCAAATTTATGGCCGGCATTGAACTAAAATGTGCAATACTTCAGATTTACCTAAGACGTGCGACATAATCACACAGATTACACTGTAGCTTGTGATCCGCAAAGATCTGTAAGGGAATCACTTACTACTACCACTACCTCTTCCCTTTAACCTTTGACCCCTAGG